ACTTATCTTGAACTCTAACTGGTCAAACATTTAAAAAAAAAAAAAAAAATTACAAGTCAAAATTTGTGAATTTCAAATTTAAACATCTGATCTTTTCATCTCAGATGGCATGTATGCTCTCTAATAATGATGAGTATATGTCAGAAAGAAGCCTAGATAATAACGTCTATTTTCTCAGAAATTCAGGGAGAAGTTAACATATATGTGTTGATAAATTGAGATGAATGAAGACATTGGAAACTTTGAAATCATTTCAAGATGCATATTTTATTGAATATAAAAACGTTTCTGAATTAAAAATAAAGAAATTGTATTGAAAAATATTTTGCAGCAACATAACATCTGGAATGAAGGAAGTTTTGAAACAAACTGATATTATTAAATTAAAAATCATGAACTGAAAGAAAATTAAGTAAAATCTCTAAAAAGATTGTGCAAATTTTTGTCACAGTTATTTTAAATTACTTTGAAATTTTAGGGACACATCATGAGGAAAGACGGCTTGGAGAATTTGACACTCCCATGGTTTATAGATGACAGAATCATTGAGTAACCTACCTAATGAGCTTGTGCAGATGGATGACAGAAGAAAGAAAGTGGGGGGATAGTAAAAAGACAAACATTACTAAGAGCTACAAAGAATAGGAAGTTGTGGAGATCCATCATCACCAAAGTTCTGAAGGGAAACAGCACAAAGTTTTACTGCGAACATTGTGTTTTTAATATCAAAAATATTTAGTTCATTTCAAACATGATGGCTCCCCTTATTAAAATAAAAATTCAAGTAAATAAAAAAAAATAAGGTGAAATTGCAAAAATACAATAAAGAAACCTTTTTGATAAATTCAGGGAAAATCGTTTATTGCTTCCCCATAAAATCAAATTTGAAGATGTAAATAATAAAAAAGCCAAATCACAGGAAAAGACCAAGAAATAGTTCAATATTTTTTTTTTTATAAATCCAAACAAATTTGTTATAACAAAAAGCTGAAAATCATTATTTGATAAATGTAATATACAAAAATATTTATTTGAATAATGTAATATACAAAAATATTTTGCTAGTGTGTCGATGGTTATCAAGGTTTGATTTGCATGCTTCCATGTAAAAATGAACTATTCATTTATATGTAGTTGTTCATGTATGAATGAAGACATTCACTGACATATATAGATTGATATAACCTATGCATATGCCTCAAGTCTGATGTTAGCCTATTCTATTTTGACAACAATATTATATATATATATATATATATATATATGAGAGAGAGGGAGAAAGAGAAAAGTGTATTTCACAAATAAAAATCCTGATTGACCAAGGTAAGATATTGTATTCAAGATAGACTATTAATAATACAATGAAATTAATTGTTCATGTATCTTGTTTCTATTCTGAGCTTTACAGGACTTACATCCACTTTTCGAAAACTTAATTACCATAATTCCCGATGTATAATATGCACACCTAAAATTATGTGGGGAAAATGCTTCTACTCAAGCATAATCTGCACCCCTTGTTTGATAATCAAATCCTATCAACTGTACCTCTCCAATTTCATTACGGCCAGTGTTTCCTACTTTTATTTAAAAAAAAAATGGTTTTAAGCATAGAATAATATTGTAATTTAGTTTTATGATAATTCTTATTTTATGACAATTTTTTAAAGATTTTTTTGAAGTTGTGCATAATACGCATGCTTACTTTTTTTTTTGAGAAAAATGCATATTATACCTGGGGAATTATGATAGGTTAAAATTGGCTCTTTAATTGAAGATCCAATTTTACAATCAAGTATAGAGACAAGTGAACATTTAATTTTATTATATATATATATATATATATATATATATATATTAGTGTAGACACAAATCAACACAGCATAATGACTATCAGTTTTATGCCTTAAGTGGCAATCAAACCATTACTCTTCTCTCATAAATATAGTAAAATTTTAAACAATATATAGTGTAAGTCATTTGAGAACATATCTTTAGATGTCCTCCTGTAACGTTATGCAGCATGCACCAAATTTCAACATTCTCATTTCTCTTTCAGATGTATTGACAACATTAACATGACAGCTGACACAGGAAATGAAAGGGCATGTCATGCTTGTGACACTAGCTGCCAACCACAGTGACTTGGAGACAGTGAGCTTCTTGAAAGTGCCCAAGTGAATTGGAAGAATGATAGGTCATATTGCACAGACCCCCACAGGAATAACTATGATAATACAGACCAAGTTCATATCATTTGTCATTTCTCTGGAGGTTATCAGCAATGAGAGTCATATCATGCTACCTGACTTCTTTTCACAGGGTCAATGCCATTTTCTACATTGATATTGTGGATACAGTGGTCAAACTCTGATTTAAAGAAGTAGCCATATTATATATATATATATATATATATATATATATATATATATATATATATATATATATATATATATATATATATTATTCATTCATATTCCAGTGGGACCCTGCTCCCTTCCACAGGATTCAAGTGATTCAGAATGATCAAGTTGACCCTCAACACAAACATATGGCTGAAACTCCTGATTTTAATCTCCTGGACTTCTATATCTGGAGAAAACAACCAGCAGCCCTAGAACTCCATGGACAACAGAAACCAGAACCACTTTATTTCATTTTATTTTTTTTGATTCATTTCATCCCAAGAAAGGCAGTAAAGCCATTAAGACACAATAAAGAAGAGAAACATTACCAATGAGTGGGAAGAGAAAAGAGTAATCAGGTGGACAGTAGATAGAGATTGACATTGCATTTAAATTTCTGGAGATGAAAGTTAGCTGGAAAGCATGGAGTCAGAAGGGAGTTTTACAAGTGAGTCTTGGCAGGCAGTTGCTCTTCAGTATACATTGAGGTCATTATTGAGGTTAAAATTAATTTTCTGTTCTTCTAAGATGAATATGAGTACAAATGGTTTGGAGAAATGCTTGTTTATGCAGTGGACTAGCAAGGGTTGCATACACTAATATATATATATATATATATATATATATATATATATATATATATATATATTAGTGTATTTAAACATCAAATGTCCTTTAAAGCATATACTATAAAAAAAAAAAAAAAAAAACGACAGCAATTTGTGTTGATTTTTTTTTTTGAATGTTTTATTCAAGTTAAAATAATCCTTCTGAGACAAGGAGAAAATTCTGTCAAAAATTGTCCAAACTTAATTTCAGAAGAATAGTACATGAAATATTCTCCATGCTTTCAACTTAAGTCATCATAAGGGTAGGCTGAATTTAGTAAAATGTTCACACACACACACACATATATATATATATATATATATATATATATATGGAGAGACAGCTGAATATGCATGCAACCAAGTCATTTGACAGAATTTTTGATCATATATGTATGCATGCAAACATGTATATAAGACATTTGACAATAGGTTTTATTTTTACATATAATAAGCTCTGATCTAAAGGTATTAAACCAACCTTATGTTTGGGAGGTGGCTAGAAATATTTATTGGTCATGTCATAAAAAGCGAAAAAGAATTTGAAAGTAAAATTAACTTGCAGTTCTTCACAGGAAATCAAATTATTGCCCAAGATTTTCTGACCAAACTTTTACACACATGGGATTTAGCAAACTTGAGAAGTAAATGGCATTGGAGGCTTTTAAGGAAGGCTTGATAATAATTACCATTTTTTTTTTATATCAAATAAAAAAATACACTTTTTCAAGTTTTTTTAAGATTATCTAACTGTAAGAATTAATAAATTTATATGAACTTGTCTCTTTAGTAGATTGTTTTTAACATATCTAGCTTTTGTGTAGGAAAATATCATATCTTTAAGAATCAGTGTTTATCAATGGTGACATTTTTTTAGCCCCAGGACTGAACATTCTGAAAATAAATCAAGTCATGTGTGATCATTTGTATAATAAAAACAAAATGGCTACACAGAAGCTAATAACCCCATAACCACTATCCTTATCAGATGAATCACAACATGTAGACGTGTTGACTGTTTGGCATTTTGAAAGACACTGAATATCACAAACTCTAAACCTAGATTTGAGGATGGTAGAAGTAAAAATTTGCTTTTAAAGTTTAAGAAATGAGACTGCATAGAAGAATAAACTATTCTTCCTTATATTTGCATCAATAAAGATATAACTCTATAGAAATGTACTTATATAGATGCATATGTATTGGATATATAAGAATGTTTTAATGCATTAAGGCAATGCAATGAAGAAAATTGCTTAAAATTATATTTTCAATAAGGCTCTTGACTTAAAGCCAAGTGTTTGAGAAATGAGATAAAGTAAACATTCACATGAATTCAATTTATCATTTTTTCTTTGTGTGCATATATATGAATCTGTATACACACAAATATGTATATATCTGATGGAATTTTAAATTATAATACATTAAAACAACAAAGAAATTTAAGAAATTATTCTACTTAAGTTTTTCATATTTCATTTGATTTTACAAGAGGTTGCAATTTTATGCTAATATTTCTATTTTAATGTGTAGATATATGAATGCATGAAAATGTGTTTCTTTTTTTTTATATGCATATATTTGTGCATTTAAAAATCTACATAAAGTTATAGTTTTTGCTGAACAAAAAACCTAAGTGTATGTGCAGAAAGGGAAGAAGCAAAAAACTTTCATTAGACTTACAGTTCTTGAAATATTTTCTTGATTTCAAATGAGAAAAGCACTCACCTAAAAGAAATAAAAAAAGTCAGTCAGTATTTACAAGTAATTGATCAAGCTTTTAATTTGCAAAAAAGTTAATGAAAAATTAAATATTCAAGTATGAAATATATTAGTTCATCCTTAGAGAAATGAATTAGTATTATTAGTATCAATTCTGTAAATGGTACAGGCAAATGAAATTCATTCTGTTTTGTACTAATGGCATTGGGGAAAAGCTTAAGTTAATTATCTTGTCCCATCGCCAGTCATCTTGATAAAAAACAGGATAATGGAAAGTAGAAAGAAAAAAAACAGAAGTGAGCAGAAAAAAAGAATGATTAATAAAATGAGAATGTTGCAAAATGGTGACTGAAAAGAAAAAGCAAGGAAAAGAAATGGGAAAATAATATAAGCAAACATGGTGAAAAAGGAAAGAAACAGAAGGAAAGATTGAGGAAAAGAAACAGAAGGAAAGACTGAGGAAAAGAAACAGAAGGAAAGACTGAGGAAAAGAAAAATCACAAACAGAAAACGAATAGAAAAAAAAAGAGAAAGAATGAATTTAAATAATATATATATATATATATATATATATATATATATATATACAAAAACAAAGAAAATCTGAAGTTAAGAAATCTGGGAAAGCATATAAAAAATAATACTGTAAAAAGAATCAAAAATGAAAAAAAATGATAGATCAGAAAATTTGAACAAGATTGTTTTATAAAATATGAGGAGGTGCTGAAAAAGTCTGTCAGGCCAAGAGTAGATTCCAGAATAAGTTTAGATACGAGTTAGATTTTGAAAAGTTGATCATACCAAGAATTTTTCAACACCTTTAACTAAAGTGTAAAATGGTATACAAGATAAAAAAAAAGAGAAGCATGAAATATAAATGCTAAATAGGAATATACAAGTAAAATCCTGAATTTTACAAGCATTTGATTACCGGATTAAGACTCACGCTGATGTTTTAAAAAAATCAATTTAAATTTATTATTTTTTATATTGATTCATTTATTTTTCACCCACATGAAACTGGACTACTCCATTATCTTTGCTAGTAGTCTATAAATAAAAGTGTTACATAAGATAGTTTTAATTTTTGCTTGATGTTTAATGCTGGAAACATTGACCAATGATGAACAAATATGAGTATATAATTATTTTTAGCATATATAAGACGAACTGTATCTCAGAAACATTTTAATTTGCAAAATGTTCTGGAAAATTTATTTTCCAAATTGTTGGTTGAAGTTAAAAAATTTGACAAGAATAGCAAAGATTCCAACATATTTTATACATTTTATTTAATAAGGTTTGTTTTGTCATAAAACCTGATAAGGGATCGAGTTACATGTGTTTTTTGGCTACTGGAAATATTTTAAATCAAGAGTGAATTAAAAATGGAGAGATGAACAAATTATCAAAGATTTCAGTTTATGATTGAGATGTGCACTGATAGATCAAGATGATTTATGTCCCTTTATCTTTGATGCAAGGTGATTGATGAGGAACAAATGTTTTAAGATATGAGAAGGCTGAGTCTTGTGAGGCACGAAAGAAGAATGCCAGCTGTTATATGCAAAAACCAGACACAGTGTGTCTCAGATTAATCTTCAGAGAAACATTGTCTGTTTGCCAAGAAGATTTGGGATTGGAATAACATTTAAATCCATTTGTAGCACCAAACAAGATGTTAGTTATTTTTTTTTTATCAGTTATTGATAGAGTGCCACTAACAAGCAACATGTTGAAAATGAACTGAAAATAAAAGAATTTTGTTACTTGTCCATTTTTCCTGAAAGCCAAAAGAAAGAAGGGCAATCTTAAGATTCATATGCTTGTTTGCTAGCCACTGCACCATGTTGTTTTGCCAAGAGAAGCAGAAAAATTAGTGTGAGAAAGTTTTTTAATGAGGGTAAAGAATAACGACAACAAAGAATAGAAGTGAAAAAAGTAAATCCCAAAACATGCAACATGAGTAAGACAGAATATATAACAATCTCCTTTGAACCATCCAAGTTGAAGTCACTCAATAATACATTGATCAAAAGAGTTGAGGACTTCAAATATTTTGGATCTTACATAATCAGTCAGTTATGTGCCATGCTTAGGTGATCATGTTTCTTTTGATACATGGCTGACGAGGCAGATTTTTTCCCTACAGTAGTTTGCCATTTCATTCTAAGATAGACCAGTTCCCATCCAAGGCTATAGAATTTAGTCTGTCTTGCTATTTACCCATAGCTGGGGGGCGGAGAAGGTAAGGATTCATACCTTTCCCAAGGATATTAGCACCTAAGTGAATGTAATGGATTTGAGTAGAATTTGAACTTAGCTCTACAAATTATCAATCCAAGCCACTATCCACTGTACCTCCTTCTTACATAATAGATTCAAAAATAAAATTCAACATCCACAAAGCTCTTACATGGAATGTGTGTAACAAACTTCACAAGATTTGGCACTGTAATCTTCCATCCTCATTAAAAGTCCAAACCTTTCCAACACTGACTGAACCAGTCCTACTGTATGAATCAGAAACTTGGACATTATCTGTTCATCTTGAAAGATGACTGGATGGAACATATACAGATCTGCTTAGAAAAATCCAGTTGGATATCCCATGGAATACTTAACACAATTTATGGAGAACTGAGACCAGTCTGTCGGAGTTACCTCCTCCTTCAGTTTGTAACCCTTTCACCAGAGGTCTCTCTTTCCTGGCTATAAATAGCCAATGACTCTTCGCTTCGATCTCTCTTTTTACTTTTCAGGCTTGTGCACTAACGCACCGAGGTAAATTTCTCTTCTTCCTAGAGGATTTCAACTATCAACCTCAAAATGTAGTCCCTAACAGAAATAGCGTGAAATCACGCTAAGCACAATACACACACGCTCCTTTACACACGGAATATTCCCCACACTTTGTCCTTTGTACTGTTTTTCTTGTATTGTAACTTGTTATGAATATATATTTGTTGTGTATACATATATTATCGGTCTTGTTTTTGTTTGCTTTCTTTTCCTTCTTCTTTGGACTTAACCAAGTCCAACCTTTTTATGTAGTTGGGCCGGCTAGCAGGAGAATCTGAACCTTACAGGCGTTTCGTCCACGTCTGTCTTCTCTCAACAAACCGTAACCGCCAACCTAACAGCCACGGCCCCCTACAAATCTCTCTCAAGCTCAAACAAAAATGATAACAGTTTACTGGCCATTGTCACTGAGCAGACAGGAAAATTGTCTAATCCTTATTTCTATGACATCCTTTTGAAAGTATCTTATGAAAAATTGACTTTCCTCGGACACCATAGCTTGGGACTCAGGGTTGTACATTGGGGATATAGGGACAGCAATACAGAACCGAACAGTGTGGAAAGGGAATCTTGATGGAGTTCTGACCAACTATATGATGATGAAATCTCCAAAAGGAAAAACCCAAAAGTGAATATAAAAACCAAAAAAGGAAAGAACAAGAAAGGTTTGAACGCAGGCAAAAAAAAAAAAAAAAATGACAAAATATTTAGAAATAAAACTACCAAACGTTTGACAAAAGAAGAAGGTCCAAAAGAGAAAGGAAGGAAAAGCAAGAGGTAAATAGAAGTGGGAGGAGGCAAAAGGCAATGACAGTGTAAAAGAGGGATGAAAATACACCAAGAGCTGCGAGGGGGGGGTACAGAGAGAGAGAGAGGGGGCAATGCACTGAGAGAGAGAGAGAGAGAGGGGGCAATGCACTGAGAGAGAGAGAGAGGGGCAATGCACTGAGAAAAGAGAGAAAGAAGAGAGAGAGGGCAATGCACTGAGAAAAGAGAGAGAGGGCAATGCACTGAGAAAGAGAGAGAGAGGGCAATGCACTGAGAAAAGAGAGAGAGGGCAATGCACTGAGAAAAGAGAGAGAGAGGGCAATGCACTGAGAAAAGAGAGAGAGAGGGCAATGCACTGAGAAAGAGAGAGAGGGCAATGCACTGAGAAAGAGAGAGAGAGGGCAATGCACTGAGAAAGAGAGAGAGAGGGCAATGCACTGAGAAAGAGAGAGAGAGGGCAATGCACTGAGAAAGAGAGAGAGAGGGCAATGCACTGAGAAAGAGAGAGAGAGGGCAATGCACTGAGAAAGAGAGAGAGGGCAATGCACTGAGAAAAGAGAGAGAGAGGGCAATGCACTGAGAAAAGAGAGAGAGGGCAATGCACTGAGAAAGAGAGAGAGAGGGCAATGCACTGAGAAAGAGAGAGAGAGGGCAATGCACTGAGAAAGAGAGAGAGAGGGCAATGCACTGAGAAAGAGAGAGAGAGGGCAATGCACTGAGAAAGAGAGAGGGAATGCTAAAGAGAAGAAAAAAGGACCAAACAAAGAAACATAGAATAACAGAAAGAAGAGCAAAAAAAGAAAGAAATGAATAAATAATGCTAAAGTGAGAAGAGGCAGAAGATAGGAAGAGGAGAGTCAGATATGCAAAAACAGAATGAGAAAAAGAATTGGCAAGAAGGCAATCTAGTAAGTGAGGGAATAAAAATCAAAGAGGGAGAATAAATAAAAGCAAAGGAAAATTTATGGCGGAAAAAAGAGCAAAGAACAAATCTCATAAAAGAAAAGGATAGTTTAATAGAAGACATCAGTTTCAGTTTCATAATCAAAACAAACAGAATAATTAAAATGGCTGTTGGCTTTTGAAATTTTCTTTTTTTAATTTCAGTGTTTAGGTTTTATCTTCATTGATTAGATTTTGATGGGAATATTTTGTTCCCAGGAAAAAAAAATTGATTAAAAAAAAATATTGCTTCTTTTACTTCAACCACTTTTTTTTTTCCCAATATTTTATCATTTTCTGGTGAATTGTTTGAAAGAAAAGATGCCCTTTCTTGGATGGAAATTATTTGGGTTAAACTGTTTATATTTTAAACCTGTATATGACAAATGTGATAATCACTTTTTTGTGAGATGTACAGCTCTAAAAGAAAACAAGATTTTAGTTTTTTTGTATAATGAAGTTAATATATGCAAGATTGCAAAAATAAAAATAAAGCCTGACAAATATTTTATGCCATGTAAAAGATTTTCTATCAAGAACAAAAAAAAGCAGTATAAATTTATATTACTTTCTATATATTTAAAATTTGTTTTTCTTCTGAGACAAATACTAGTTAACTAACTATAACTTAGGTGCTATAAACAATCATAGTAGATATTAAAGAGAGTCAAGTTTTAAAGATGACAGTAACTCTAAATATATACTTGCAATTAATCAATATTTGATGAGAATTTATTGATTATTTTAATGTCTCCATTTATAAAATATTTGAAATAGTACTGACAGAACTGACTGATGCAGTTTTCTATGCAAGTTGATAAATAAAATAAAACTATTTAAAACAAAATAATGAAACATTTTTGGACTTTCTTTTAATTCATCAAGTTTTAATAATAGACTTGACTGAATAGTAAAACCAAGTGTTTTACAGATTTTAAAGTAAATTAATAGATTAGCTTTCATGAATATGTAGTCTGAATAATTTGGATTCCTGGCTTAAAAACATTTTAGATATTTTTATCCTTATCAGATAGAGTCAAATAATGATGGTGAAGTGGTATGGAGGCTTCTATATCATCAAAAATATTTTCAATAAAATGATACAGAACAAAAATAAATACATGAAAGGTTGAAATTTTATAAAATAAGATAGAATAATAAATGTCTGCTTCTAGAAAAAGGCATGGCTTTTATTAACAGAGTCTGACTGCAAATGTCTACATATTTGAACAAAGTCCTACTGCCTGTTTGGAGAAGTGCACTTTCCATTTAGGGTCTGTAGCCCTCTGAAAATGCAAAAGGAAAGAGAAGTGAGAGTTTCTTTTAGATAATATTTTTTTTTTAAGCAGTAGATAGCTGCTGCTTCTGCTACTATTTATATCTAACACAGCCAATAATCTGTGTTACTGTACCAAAAAATCACTTCAGTGGTTTAAGAAACTGATTTAATTTAGTTATTTACAACAAAATAACTTATGAAGAAAGAGTTGAAATTTCTGGGATACATAATGAAGAAAGAGGGCTTGGAGAATTTAACAAGAGATTGAGGACAAAAGTAGTGGGAAAAACAGTAACATAAGATTGTGTAAAAGGATTGCAAAACAATATAAAAGAGGGATGATACAGTGTCAAAAGTTACTTGGAGTAACAAAAGACAGGAAGTTGTCCATGGTTAGCCATATTATGAAACAACGTGGGATATTAAAAAAATGAATAACAATATAAACAAAAAAAAACTGGGCAAATTTGGAATGAACTTTCATGCCTAAAAAAAAAAAAAAAAAAAAAAAAATTAAGTCCCAAAAGGACACTTCTTTCATTGACATCACTATTATTTTAACTACCTTCACTTCTTGTCAATATTTATTATTTTAAAAAGGGATGATTGGAAGTGTAAGAAAACCTAAATATATGATGAAAGTGAATTTATACATTTTCTTTTTGAGAATTTACAACAAAAATATTAAACACTATTTGATTGTTTCTTAACAAGAATATTTTTTTTATTCACAACATTCTAAAAACTAATATAATTAAAACTAATGCAATGCAATATTTGTCATTTAACAATTCATAAAGAAAAAAGAATGAAAATTTTTTATTCATAAATTTATAAACATTTACTAAATTATTAAAATATGTGAACCAACTATAAGGAAATCCTTATTATTTATCATTTTATAAAGTTTGCATCAATTGGCAATTAGCCAATGTTTTGCTAACCATTCCAATAATCAATAAATAATTTAAATAAACAACCTAATAAATAAATAATGTTTATTATTTTTGTTGTAAATTCTCAAGAACAAAGAAAATGTATAAATTCATTTTCACATGTTTAAGTTTTATTACGATTCTAATCATTTCTTTTTGAAGCAATAAACATTACCAAGGAGTGAAGGTAGTTAAAATAATAGTGGTGTCAATGGGGAAAAAAAAAAAAAAAAAAATCATTCGGGCACTAAATGTTTTTTTTTGTAGGCACATAAGGTCCAAATTTACCAAGAACAGATTCAATGAAAACTGACAATCTGATTATAAAGTATTTTCTAAAGCAACAAGTTTTAAAAATAGATACCAGAATAACAGCAGTTTATATAATTTATCCTGAATTCATAAGAGGAATTAAATATGCATGTGAAGGTCTGAAGGGAATTTTTCTCATCTTTTTAAAGTTAAATTATTCAACCTTTTAAAAGATTAATTTTTAGTTGACCTTACATCATAATTCCTTAAAGATAATGAGAGTTACATGCTATTTATTATAATTTAAAAAATCAGAAATTAATGTCATGTTTTAAGCATAAAAATTCTTTGTTTTAAACAGTTAATCAACTCATAGGTCATTTTCATTTTTTATGCTATTTTCTTTTAAGTCCATTGACTATAGCTTTGTCCTTACTTTAAAATAACTGATGATAATTTATTACAACTCTTATTCTTCTATCCTGATTAGATATTTTTGGCATATCTATGCTTAGAAAATAAATTTCATAATATTTCAACATAATTACATATAGAAGTCACTTTAAAAATATTAAAATTTCTTTTTCACACACACTGAGTGTGTATATATATATATATATATATATATATATTTTATGTATAATTATTGTTTAAATTTGTTGCCTCTTATTTGAAAATGCCAACTGCTTATCTAATGTTACAATGTATCCAAAAAAGTCTTTCATTGAGTTGACATGATTTCCGGCTAAATTTAAATCTATTTTCCATAACATCTTTACGTAAATGCTTTTCATTGGTTAAACCAATTCACAGCATGTCTGGTCTTTTTTCATTCCTATATCATCCTCATATTCATAGTTATCTTTATCTTTTTTTTTCTTCAGAGAAGAGGATATCTTGGATCTTTCTTTTCTGTCTCCTGTTATTTTTCTTGCTTCTTTCTTTTTTTTCCTCACCATATCTTGTATTCCTTTCTTTTCTTGGCTGTATTTTGTGTCCTTTTTTATGGAGAAGTGATGTTTTATAAGTATTATTAAAAATTGTTATAACAATCATTTTAACAATGCCTGCTATATTGCATTGAAACATTAATGCATTTTTGTACCAGATATATGCATGTTCGAATATAATAACCTATAATAAAGAATTATAGCTCTACTTTTGTATTGAGCCCAAATTAATGTTATCAATGTTTGAATTTGTATTTGATTCATTCTTATTGCATTTGTGTGCATATATATATATATATATATATATATATAAAAATGTGAGAAATATTAGTAGTTAAATTTAATTAGAAGCTTCTATTCCCATTTAATGTTTGTGATCCTGTCAATGCAATATAATTAACAACAATGGTTATATAGTAATTGGAGTAGAATTGTTTTGTTGAATGATTCCTCTCTAATCTAACACCTGACACTTGTGACATCTGATGTTTTATAATTTGGACAAACAGCTGACTCTGGAGCCATGAAGAATAGCTTATTTGATTTTAAGATTTTGTATATGTTGACATAATTGTAGCAAAGAAGATAATAACAGTTTATCTTGCCAAATAACAAACATCCACATGTCATGTGCAGCTTCTACTGAATGGCCAAATCTGAAGACTTTCTTTCATAGAGAGCTCAACAGCTCATGCTTGACCATTTGTTGGTGTCTTGACCCTATGTATGCTCTTGATTTTGGGGATGTGGGTACATTTTCTTTTTAGCAGCTTGTTAGCTTAGATTCAGGATCATCTAACATGTGCAACTTGAACTTGCAGATATTGACTTATGGACTAACTTTTTACTGCAATAATAACCTACACCATGTATATTTATACATATTTTTATCTGCTTTATCTCAGCAAAAAGTTACAGATATAAAAAACTAACAAGGGATTCCTGGCCATATTTTAAACCACTCAAGTGACATATTCATCATGTCAATGCTTTTCTGTTTGAACAGCATAGCAAACTTAACATGGACAAACATGTCCACAATAAGATGTAGTATTAAAAAGGATGGTTTTTACTCATTATACTGCTTTTCAAGGTACCTTCACTTTTTTGGCAATGTTGTTTTAAAAAGGGATGATCAAAATTGGAATAAAACTTAATGCCACTAAAACACAAGGGGCTACTGGGAGTGAAAAAAATATGAAAAGCCTGAAAATTGAATCCTAAACAGAAAACGAGGGATAAACCCATACTCCTGTTCAAAAAACCAAGAAGAGTGTGAACCAGATAAAAAGTGAACCTATTTACTCTTATATACTCATAAATCATAGCATTTAATTCATCTTTGTCAGAATAAATTATATTGCCTTCTTCACAATATGCAATATTATATGAAAGGAATCAAAAACAATTTTGAATTACTGCAAAAAAGTGTAAATTGCACTCCAAGAGTCAGGGACAAAGTTACAAAAAAAGCAGAAAACAAAAGACAGTTTAAAAATAAGAGGTTTTAAAAATAATTTCTTACAAAATTTATTGGAGAACCTTGTAGCATAAATATTTAATTTTTTTATTGTACATTATTTTTTAAAATTTACAAGTTTACTCAGGCCACTATATAATATTAAATAAAATACAAGAAATTAAAAAAAATCATAAAATATAAGAAAGT